TCCTACACACCTCCTACTGGGGATGTGCCCGCAACCAAGGTACATGCCCTTGACCGGAATCGAACCTGGGACCTTTTAGTCCGCAGGCCGACGCTCTATCCACTGAGCCAAACCGGTTAGGGCTAGGGATATTTTTATGTATTGTTAAATCCAGTGTGGTTATATTGTGTTGAGGAATTTTGCATCTATGTTCCTCAGGCATATTGGTTTGTAATATTTGTGTGGATTTTTTTGTAGTGTCTTTGGTTTTGATGTCAGGGTATTGCTGTCTTTGTGGAATGAATTCAGCTGAATTTTTTGTTTTCAATTTTTTTGAAATCGTTTAAGAAGTATAGGTATTCCTTTAGTGTTTGGTAGAATTCATTGGAGGAGTTTTTTGTTTTTTTTTAAAATTGTTATTACAGATTCAGTATTGTTTCCAGTAAGCAGTTCATTCTGATTGTCTGTGTCATTCTGATTCTTTTTTGGAGAATTGTATGTTTCTAAGAATTTATCTTTTTCTTCTAGGTTGTCCCATTTGTTGGTTGGTAGCAAGAGAAAAGCAGCTAGATATACACAGGTGAACACCCACATGACTATCAGCCAATTTTCCAGGAGAAACTTTGCAGTTCAGAAAATAATAGCATGATATATTTAAAAAGGTAAAAAGAGCCCTAACCGGTTTGGCTCAGTGGATAGAGCATCAGCCTGTGGACTGAAGGGTCCCGGGTTCGATTTTGGTCAAGGGCACATGCCCAGGTTGCAGGCTCAGTCCCCAATAGGGGGCGGGCGTCAATGATTCTCTCTCATCACTGATGTTTCTTATCTCTCTCTCCCTCTCTGAAATAAAAAAAATATATATGTTTTAACAAAAAGGTAAAAGGAAAAAAACCTACAATCAAGCATACTCCACCCAATAAGGTTATCATTCAGAATTAAAAGAGAGAGAAAAAAATTTCCCAGTCAGAAAAAAAAATCTCACTAGTAAAAGTAAATAAACATTTAGTAAAAGTAGATCAACTAATTGTAAAACTACTATGATAGTTAAAGACAACAGTAGTAAAATCAGGATTATATAAAATAAATAAGAAAGAAACAACAGACAAAAACATAAAATATGCCATCATAAATGTATTATGTAGAGAGTGTGTAATAAGTATGGTATTTTTAGAATGATTCAACTGAGGCAGCCATTAACTTAAAATGGACAACTTTAAACATAAGTTGTTATAAATGAAGCTCATGGTAACCACAACCAAAAAAATATAATAGATACAAAAAAATTTAAAGAGAAATGTATCCAAATATAACATTAAAGAAACTTATCAATACCCAAGATAAAAAGGCCAAAAATGAAATACAAAAAACAACAAAATAACAATTAATACAATGGCAATAAGTACATGTGCCTATCAATAATTACTTTAAATGGAAACTGAACAAAATGCTCCAATAAAGATTTAGGGCTGTGGTCGGCAAACAGCGGCTCATGAGCCACACGTGGCTCTTTGGTCCCTTGAGTGTGGCTCTTCCACAAAATACCAACTTCTGCACATGGGCCATGAAGTTTCAGTCGCACTGTACATGCGCACCCGCACGTGGTATTTTGTGGAAGAGCCACACTCAAGGGACCAAAGAGCCACGTGTGGCTCATGAGCCGCTGTTTGCCGACCACAGCCCTAAATCTTTATTGGAGCATTTTGTTCAGTTTCCATTTAAAGTAATTATTGATAGGCACATGTACTTATTGCCATTGTATTAATTGTTATTTTGTTGTTTTTTGTATTTCATTTTTGGCCTTTTTATCTTGGGTATTGATAAGTTTCTTTAATGTTATATTTGGATACATTTCTCTTTAAATTTTTTTGTATCTATTATATTTTTTTGGTTGTGGTTACCATGAGCTTCATTTATAACAACTTATGTTTAAAGTTGTCCATTTTAAGTTAATGGCTGCCTCAGTTGAATCATTCTAAAAATACCATACTTATTACACACTCTCTACATAATACATTTATGATGGCATATTTTATGTTTTTGTCTGTTGTTTCTTTCTTATTTATTTTATATAATCCTGATTTTACTACTGTTGTCTTTAACTATCATAGTAGTTTTACAATTAGTTGATCTACTTTTACTAAATGTTTATTTACTTTTACTAGTGAGATTTTTTTTTCTGACTGGGAAATTTTTTTCTCTCTCTTTTAATTCTGAATGATAACCTTATTGGGTGGAGTATGCTTGATTGTAGGTTTTTTTCCTTTTACCTTTTTGTTAAAACATATATATTTTTTTTATTTCAGAGAGGGAGAGAGAGATAAGAAACATCAGTGATGAGAGAGAATCATTGACGCCCGCCCCCTATTGGGGACTGAGCCTGCAACCTGGGCATGTGCCCTTGACCAAAATCGAACCCGGGACCCTTCAGTCCATAGGCTGATGCTCTATCCACTGAGCCAAACCGGTTAGGGCTCTTTTTACCTTTTTAAATATATCATGCTATTATTTTCTGAACTGCAAAGTTTCTCCTGGAAAATTGGCTGATAGTCATGTGGGTGTTCACCTGTGTATATCTAGCTGCTTTTCTCTTGCTACCAAAAAGTACTGGTTTTCAAAACTAAAAATTTAAAAACTGCCACGGGGGGAAAAACACACCAAATATTTCACAAAACACTCCTTTCTTTCTGAAGTGTTTTAGGATGTAATCATTAACCAGTCTGTTACTTTAATCTTAAATGGCCAATGGAGACAAACAGTTCTGAGACTGTGCTTCCACCACCGATTAAGACTAGGTGGCAGGTTATTGGGAATAATATTTATTTAGCCTTGTGAAACCTCAAGGCAGTCTTTGTGATTGCCAGTTCCAGCTGCCTTCTTTCTTTTTTTAAAAAATATATTTTATTGATTTTTTACAGAGAGAATGGGAGAAGGATAGAGAGTTAGAAACATCGATGAGAGAGAAACATCTATCAGCTGCCTCCTGCACACCCCCTACTGGGGATGTGCCTGCAACCAAGGTACATGCCCTTGACCGGAATCGAACCTGGGACCCTTCAGTCCGCAGGCGGACACTCTATCCACTGTGCCAAACTGGTTAGGGCCCAGCTCCTTTCTTGTGTACTGCTTTTCTGATACCTACAGCAACTGTCTGTCTCATGTCATGAACAGCAAAATGGCCCAGAGGAGGATAGTCAGAGAATCTCTCAACACACATGGCCTTGCCAGGAACCATATCCACGATGGCAGCATCACCAGATTTCAAAAACATTGGGCCATCTTCCAGCTTTTTCCAGAACGATGATTCGTCTTTTGCAGGTGAGCAAATTTGCGAGCAATGTGAGCTGTGTGAGAGTCCTGCACAGGTGCATACCCAGCACTGAGTTGGCCTGGATGGTTCAGGATAATCACCTGAGCTGGAAACCAGCTACTCCATTCGTGGGCAGTTTTCCTGTCACCAGCCACATTGCTGCAGTGAACATCTGTGACAGAAACATTCTTGACATTGAAGTCCACATTGTCCCCCGGAAGAGCTTTGCTCAGTTTTATGGTGCATTTCAACAGACCAGTTATAGCAGGGGTCCTCAAACTTTTTAAACAGGGGGCCAGTTCACTGTCCCTCAGACCGTTGGAGGGCCGGACTATAGTTTAAAAAAAAACTATGAACAAATTCCTATGCACACTATCTTATTTTGAAGTAAAAAAACAAAACTTCAAAAAAAAGGCTCTCCTAACTTCAAAAAAAAAGGCCCTACTAACTGCAAAATAAAAAAAAAAATAGACCTCCTAACTTCAAAAAAAAATAAATCCTAACTTGTTCTTCCCTCGGCCCTCAGGCAGCAGCAGGCTCTGCACAGGCAAGCTCGTGACTCGTCCGATCACACCCGAGACTGAGAGGAGGAGTCGAGAGACAGAGAAGGAGGGGAGTGGGAGAGAGCGGCGCACATTCCACACATGCGCACTGTGGGCCCGGGACGAGTCGGCTGCTAAGCAACAGGCAGCAGCGGCAAAAACACCCGGCAGGCCGGATGTCTCCCGCGGGCTGTAGTTTGAGGACCCCTGAGTTATAGTGTTCTCTGGAGCAAAGGTGACCACTGTGCCAGGTTTGAGAACACCAGTCTCCACTTGGCCCTCAGAGACAGTACTGATACCAACAATTTTGTAGATATTCTGGAGCGGTAGATGCAGGGGCTTGTCAGTTGGACAAGTTGGTGGTAGGATGCAATCCAGTACTTCAAGTAATGTGGTTCCACTGGCATTGCCATCTTTATGGGTGACTCCCCATAGCCTGAACCAAGGCCTCTTAGCACCTGGCTCCAGCATGTTGTTACCATTCCAATCAGAAATTGGCACAAATGCTACTTTGTTGGGGTTGTTTTCCACTGTATTGATGTAGATCAGTGGTTCTCAACCTTGGCTGCACATTAGAATCACCTGGGAATCGTTTTAAAATCCTGATTTCCGAGCCTCATCCTCTGGAAATTCTGTTTCTTTGTTATGGGGTGGGGCCACAACATTAGTAACAAAGAAACAGAATTTCCGGAGGGTGAGGCCCAGAAATCAGGATTTTAAAACGATTCCCAGGTGATTCTAATGTGCAGCCACGGTTGAGAACCACTGATGTAGATGCTGACTTCCTTAATGATTTCCTTGTATCTTTTCTGACTATAGGGCTGCTCGGTTTAATTCATTTTGTTAACACCAACACTTAGTTGCTTCACACCTAGCGTGTAAGTCAGAAGGGCATGCTCACCTGTCTGCCAATTTTTGAAGTTACGTCCTTCAAGTTCACCAACCCAGCAGCAACAGTCAGGACAGCACAGTCAGCCTGAGATGTGCCTGTAATCATGCTTTTGATGAGGTCTCTGTGTCCTGGGGCATCCATGCTGGTCACATAATACTTGCTGGTCTCGAATTTCCACAGGCAGATATTAGTGGTGATACCACATTCACGTTCAGCTTTCAGCTTATCCAAGACTCGGGCATACTTGACAGAATCTTTACCCGTTTCAGCAGCCTCCTTCTCAGATTTTTTTGTCCATCCCACCAAATTTGTACATCAGATGGTCAGTAGTGGTAGACTTACCCAAATCAACGTGTCTAGTGCTGATGATGCTGACATGAGTTTCCCCCTCTCCCTTCCTGAAATCAATTTATATATTATATATACATACATATATATGTATGTATATATAATATATAAATTGATTTCAGGAAGGGAGAGGGGGAAAGAGATAGAAATATCAATGATGGGAATCATTGATTGGCTGCCTCCTGCACGCCCCCTACTGGCATGTGCCCTTGACTGGAATCAAACCCGTGATCCTTCAGTCCGCAGGTGGACACTGAGTCAAACCAGTTAGGGCTCTTTCTAATTTTGGCTTCGATTTAGCAGTGGTTCTCACAACACTGTTCTGGCAGCAAAGCCTTGTCGAAAAGAAAGGAGATTCTGTTTTGTTTGTTTTTTTGTCTTTTTTTATTGTTTTGTTTTGTTTTTTGTTTGTTTGTTTGTTTTTTTAGTGAGAGGGGAAAGGGAAAGGGACACAGAGAGTGAAGCATCGATGTGAGAAACATCCATCGGTTGCCTCCCGTACACACCCTGACCTGGGATTGAACCTGCAAACTGGGTATGTGCCTGACTGATAACTGAACCACCAACCTTTCAGTGCACAGGACAACACTCAACCAGTTGAGCCACACGGACCAGGGAGAGATTGTTTTTATTCAGACTTTTAGCATTTTAATTGTGCTGTGTCTTGTTATGAGTCTTTTGGGGTTTCTCTTGTTTAAAAATCTCTTTGCCTCCTGACATAAATGTCAGTTTTCTTTACCAGATTAGGGATGTTTTCAGCCAATATTTCTTCATATAGATTCAGTCTCTTTCTCCCTTCTCCTTCTGAAACTCCTGTAATGCAAATGTTAGTATGCTTGATGTTGTTTTAAAGGTCTCTTAAACTATCCTTGTTCCTTAACATTCTTTTTACTTTTTTACTCTTCCGATTGTGTGATTTCTACTATTTTGTCTTCCAGATTGCTGATTTGTTTTTCTGCATCATCTAATCTGCTGTTAATTCCTCTAGTGTATTCTTTTTATTTTAGTTATTGTATTTTTCAATATTTTCTTATGTGTGTTTGGTTTTTTTTTATCTCTTTGTGAGCATTTCCACTGAGTTCATCTGTCTACCATAATTTTGTTGAGTAGTTTTATAGCCATTGCTTTTGGATTCTTTATCCAGTAGATTGTCTGTTTCTACTTCATTTAGTTCATTTTCTGGGATTTTGTCCTTTTCTTTAATTTGGAAAGTATTCCATTGTCTCATTTTGCTTATCTTTCTGTGTGTTTCAGTGTATAATGTAGATCAATTATGTCTCCCTTTTTAAGAGTGGTTTTGTGTTGAAAATGTTATATGGCACAATCCCCATTGGTCACCAGAATCAGTTATTCCACAGGTGTCTTCTGTGTAGGTTCTGTGTGCCCTTCTGTCTTAGTTTGGTGGGGATTGGTGTGGGTACTACCATGGGTGGGATTTTTTCTCACGCTGACTAGCCCCTAAAACTTGTCATGACTGGTTTGGATAATTGTGTACAGGGGTTGGCCCCATGGAGCAGGAGTCACTTTGATGGGTGCTGGCTGAGTCCCCCCACTGAGTGTGCCATTTGTGAGGTAACTTGGGTGTCGCACTCCTGTAAGACAAAGCCGGTTTCCAAATATGCCAGCTCTGAAGCCTCTTTAGAGTGGCTCTGCTGTGGCTGAGGCCAGCTGCAGATTGTGCAGGGCCTAGAGCTGCTTGGGTAGGGGCGGTATTTCAGCAAAGGTCGGCTGCTGCATGTGCCAGGTCTGGGTCACTTGGAAGGGACTGTGATGAGAACCAGGGCCGGCTGTTGTCTGTACCATTGTTGGAACCACTTGGGATGAAGGGCAGTGCAAGCTGATGAGGACTGCCACTGTGGCAAGGTCGGATCTACCTTTGGGAGTAGTACTATTAGAATGGCATACTTATTAAAAGACCTTGGGCAGATGTCTATGTTGGATCCTGTCTTCCCTTAGAGCAGCGGTTCTCAACCTGTGGGTCGCGACCCCTTTGGCGGTCGAACGACCCTTTCACAGGGGTCGCCTAAGACCATCCTGCATATCAGATATTTACATTACGATTCATAACAGTAGCAACATTACAGTTATGAAGTAGCAACAAAAATAATTTTATGGTTGGGTCACAACATGAGGAACTGTATTTAAAGGGCCAGAAGGTTGAGAACCACTGTCTTAGAGGTAGGCTGTGATAGAGACTGGGGTTGCCCTGACAGTAGGAGGGGAGTCTTAATGGCAAAAAGAAAGATTGTATGGTATGAATAAGGTGTGCCTATTTGATGGTCACATCTTAAAGCAGTGGTTCTCAACCTTCCTAATGCTGCGACCCTTTAATACAGTTCCTCATGTTGTGGTGACCCCCAATTTCATTGTTACAAATTGAACATAATTAAAGCATAGTGATTAATCACAAAACAATATTTAATTATATATGTGTTTTCCGATGGTCTTAGGCGACCCCTGTGAAAGGGTCGTTCGACCCTCAAAGGGGTCGCGATTCACAGGTTGAGAACCGCTGTCTTAAAGAGAAGTTATTTCAGAGAGAAAGAGAAGAGATTGGGGAAAGCAGCCAATTGACAATCGACGGAGGGCCCAGTTCACTCTCCTAATACCAGGGAGCTCACCAGGACCCTTAAGTACCTCTGTGCTGCTGCTGGCTCTGCATCTACTGCAACAAAGATCCTGACCCCCTGGTTAGTGGGGACAACAGTTATAGCCTGTCGGTGGCACAGCAAAGGGATTAACTCAGACTGGACTCAAGCCTTAGGTTCTTAAGTCCTATATAGCAATCATTTCATAGGCGAGGCCTCTAATCCTGATAGCACTGCTTTGAGGCCCTCTGAAGGGAAAGTTTAATGGGTACCATGCTTTAGAGACTGCACATTCATTCCTCTGATGTTTTTATAGTGACCTAAAATATAAAACAGGTAAGGGCTTGAGCAAAAGAACAAAAGGAAAAAAGCATTGAAATGGTACAGAATTTGACGTAATTGGAAATTCAAAATACACAGAAAGAATTAAATTAAAAAAATTAAAGGTCACTCTTTGGAGTTTGAGTCTCTAAAAATAATTCCAGATTGTTACCCATTATCTGTAATGCAGTGGTATGCGACCTTTCGTGCAATTCTCATGTAATTTGGTTTCAAGTTACAGTTATACCTGGGATCTCAATAAATTAAAGCAAGGTACTTCCTGATCTTAGGGGAATTGCTGAAATAATATAAAGGAGAAAGGAGTATACTTCATGTAAAAATGAAAAGTCTGCCTTTGACTCAAGGTCATAGCACCCATTCTCCAAAAATACCCATGGTCATGAGGAAAGCTCTGACCCAATTAATTAAATTAAAACTTCACCACTTCCAAATTGGCTTTACAAAATTTGACTCTGTGGTCCTTACCACTTTGTAATGTTAGTTAATGTGACCCAGTGTAAATTAAAAAGGGCCTTCAAGAATTGAAAACTGTAATAAATAACCTTTTAGAAAGAAGTCATTATCTCCAGTTATACTTTGAACAGCTGAATTTTGCCTTTTTAAACCTGGAGAGAATGAATGACTTCTCACACTGGATTACTAAAACCTTGAGGTTGTGTTCATACCAGATAAACCTGTATTTCTAGTTCCCGACATTATCAAATTTACTGACTCCTACTCATTAACTGGTACGGATTCTGTTATCATAGATTTGGCTAACAGTGTGTTCTATTCAGTGCCCATTTCAACAGCCATTTAGCACAATTGGGCTTCACCTTGAAGGGTCATGATACACCTTTACCTGGTTATTCTCAGGAAACCTCAACACCATTATCACAGCACACAGTCTGCAGGTCAGATATAAGCTGCATTTATCTTGCTCCAGGAGAACAGGTATGACATTACATGTATGTCATTCTCCTTGGTGGACGTTCTTTTGACATTTAGGACACACGTACAGTGGGAAAAAAGGAGCTTACGAAAAGGAGATGGACCACTGCCCAAAACATATGAGGCCCTGGTGCCTTGGTTACTTTTTTTTTCCACAAGACAAAAAAAATTAAAAAACATTGTTCCGTGGGTATGTAATAGTCCAAGGGGCTAAATAGTTACTTTGGGACGGCTTTACAAATTTAAAATAGATGCTGAAGTAAATGTTACATATTAACATTATCTGGTTCATTTTCTTCCTTAAAGATTCTTTAGCCTATTTCTCTGCATCGTCCTTTATATCTTTTGGGATAATTTTTGTCATCCTTTAGTTATTTCACCAACGCAACTCAGCTCTAGTTCAGCTTTATCATTTAACTTTATTAAGTACTATGGAAATTGTTTTTGTAACTTCTTTAACAGTATCACGGCAGGCATTCTGTTTATCTGAAATTTTTCTATTTCTGTCTTCCAGCTTGTCTGGCTTTGCCAGTAGCATAGCCCCAGTGACCATATGAAATACCCGGTGGGTCAGTCACACACCATCATTCACACTGTAAGACTTTAACATGAAACCGCAGCCAGAAGTTCTCACAGCACTGTGAAGTGTGTATGCCCATATGCGTGTCCATACGTGGCCACTCTGTCTGCAAGATGTTTTAGTGGAATGCTGTAGCCAAAGTTACATCTAAAGTTGCAAGCTTCTTCTCTTGCAGTGTCTGCTAATGAACGGGCATCTGAGGACGAACCTGCCATTCCATCATTTAAACGTCATTTTATGGAACCTTCTTCATAAAGTTTGCATTGACGGTTATCTGTTATTAATTTTATGAAAATTAATTGGTACTGCACTGACTTGTTTCTATATTCCTTTTTTTTAAAAAAGGTATTCCCATGATGTGCTTTCAAATTTTTTGTTTAAAGCAGGCTTACCTAGGGTTTATGGATCTTGCCTTCTGTTTTATTTGTTCTGTCTTGTTTTTGCGTTATTCTTCACTGAGATAGAGGTTTCTGTTTGTTTGTTTTTAAAGTACTGGTTGTGTTTAGAACAAAATATTTGGGCCATATTTCAAAATACTGGGTTCATTTTCTCTTTCCAAATTCTGGAATCACCAGATTGCCCTGGTACCAAAATTATCTTATGGATCTAAGAATAGAAGATGATTTCCAGTTTTTGTGCTTTTTTTCCTGAGATTGAGAGAATGACATCCTCTAAGTTACTTAAATTCCAGATCAGAAACTTGAAGTCTCTGACTCCAGTCACTGATGATTAATCACTGATGATTAACTGCTGACCGCTTTAATACTTCATGATTTATTTCCCCCATGTCTTTACATCTCTCTGATGCTACAGGAGAGCCTTCGTACTTTGTCCGTTAGGGTAGCAAGAAGTTGACTACACGCTAGCTCCACCCTTGTGTATGAACTCTCACCTTAGTTCCCTTTCTAAACTCAGTAAAACAAGTCCACGCACCTTTTCATGCTCAATCAAGCTATTTCATGCCTGCTTGAGAGAGGTGCCTTACTTTCCCTAAAGACCCCAATTATGAAAGTCATAGCCCTTTCATACCCTGTTGGCAATGTGTGGTTTCATCAGCTGAGGGGTTTCTATGCCCAAGGGTTGAGTTATCATGCTCCTTTATTCAACGGGGGAAGTAAGAATTGACAGAAGGATAGGCATTGCCTAGATATCTTGTGTTACAATTGCCTACAGCATTCAAAACAGTAACAAGCAATCTATACCATGTAGCCTAGGTGTGTGGTAGGCTATGCATACCAGTGAAGTTCGTGTATGATGTTTCTACAATGCCAAATTCACTTAACAATGCATATCTGGGTGTGTCCTTGTTGTTACTACCATTTTAGCTCATCAAATCATACAGAGAGAGAAACTAAGAACTAAAACTGTGGTAAATAACACACAAGGAAAAGGCCCTGCTTCTCCATAGAATATTTTCATTACATCTGATTATTTGTAATGTCATGGAGGACTTTAGTAAGGTATGGCCTGCTGTACCTTGATAAAACTTGGATTCCCAAGGATCACATGTATTCTATGTTTGGTGATAGGAAAGCTTCTAGTTCTTTAGTACATTTTATTCATCGAATGCGGATTTGACATTCGGACTTAGGAGTGCTGTCAATTGGGAATAATAAGAAAGGAGCCGAATCGATTTTTCTTACAAGGCATTGATGTTATTAAAATAATAATGTTTGTTTCACTTGTATAGACTTTTGTCATTTCTCAACATGCTCTGTACCTTGTTATTAGAGAAATAATGATGTGATGTATTCATAGTAAAAATGTGTAAGCAATTTCCATGTGTTCATATGGTGTTAAATTTATGAGGAAGTGTGGAAAGTACGTTTCTTTGATCAAGTCATAAAATAAATTATTGGAGCTGATAGAATCATATGTAACCTTGTTATAAATGGATTGTAGATTTTCAGGCTGTCAACTTCACAAACTTTACTCTGTACATATATGGATTGTTTTAGGACTCGGTATCCTTTGAGGATGTGGCTGTGAACTTCAGTCTGGAGGAGTGGGCTTTACTGGAGTCTTCACAGAAGAAACTCTACAGAGATGTGATGAGGGAAACCTTCCGGAACCTGGCCTCCATAGGTAAGGATGATGAATTCCCTTCACTTGCTCAAATTAGAGCACAAGTTTCTTTGTTTTTTTCAGAGAGGAAGGGAGAGGGAGAGAGAGAGAAACATCAATGATGAGAGAGAGAATCATTGATTGGCTGTCTCCTGCAGGCCCTACACTGGGGATCGAGCCCACAACACGGCATGTGCCCTGACCAGGAATCAAACCGTGACCTCCTGGTTCATAGGTTGATGCTCAACCACTGAGCCACACCAGCCAGGCACAAGTGTTTTTTACCCATCAGCATTTTCTAAGATGTGTCATTTGGGAAGGAATGACATTGACAAATAGTTACAGCTCATCATAGAAATAGAATGTACTAGTTTTTAAATAACTTCTAATACTTTGGAATTATTTTTCTGGGTCTGCTGCTTTAGGTAGCAAATGGGAAGATCTTGACATGGAAGATCAGTACAAAAACCAGAAGAGAAAACAAAGGTGAGTCACACAAGAGAAAGCAGTGTCTCATGTAAAAGAACCATTGAAATTTTAAAAAGAAGCAACCAAAGCAACAGCTTCTTTAAATGTATTACATCTTAAGAGATGTTCACCAAATTGCTTTCTTATATATTATATAAATGATCAGTGTTTGCAAAATAGATTAGGAAACAGCATTATTAAACCCTGTATATGAATATCACTGTTTTATTAATAGCAAGGCTAAACTTGTCTTGCAGAGCCTTCAGTATATTAAATTTTATATAAACATAAAACATAAAACCTACACTTTCAGTGTAAATCGTACTAATATACTTTAAATATTTTACTGATCAATACAAAGTCTCTAATAAAAAATCATTCATGAGGTGTTTCTTGTTTTTTACAGAAGTCGTATGTTGGAGAGAACCTGTGAAGGGAAAATGGTTAGTCAGTGTGGAGAAAACATCAGCCTTATTCCTGATTTCAGTCTGAAGAAGAAATCTCTTCCTGGAGGAACACGGTGTGAATGCAGAATGTTTGACAAAGCCTTCACAGATCATTCATCTCATAGTAGTCACACCAGCTGTCACAATGGACAAAACTTCTCTGAGTATCAGAGATTTGGAGTGAAGCCATATAAATGTAATGTATGTGGGAAAGCCTTTAGTTATCTTCAGTGCTTTGAAAATCATGAAAGAACTCACTATGGAGAGAAACCCTATAAGTGTAAGGAATGTGGGAAAACCTTTATGTGGCTCAAAATTCTTCAGAAACACATGACCAAACATAGTGCAGATGCTCCTTATAATGGTAAGGTGTGTACGAAAACCTTTAGTTCTTCAACTTCTCTTCAGACAGGTGAGAGAACCCACTCTGGAGAGAAGGCCTATCAATGTGAAAAATGTAGTAAAACATTCAGGCATCCCAGCCAACTTCACGTACATGAAAGAACCCACAGTGCAGAGAAACCATATGAGTGTAGGATATGTGGAAAGGCCTTCAAATATTTCAAATCCTTAGAACCACACAGAATGACTCACACAGCAGAAAAACCCTATAAATGTAAGGAATGTGGAAGAGCATTCAGGCATTACAGTTCCTTAGAAATACACAAAAGATTTCACACTGGAGAGAAGTCCTATGAATGTAAACACTGTGGTAAAGCTTTTAGTTATCACAGCTCCCTTAAAGGACACATGAAAATGCACACAGGAAATACTCCGTATCAATGTAAGGAATGTGGGAAAGTATTCACTCTTATCAGATCCTATCGAAATCATGAAAGGTACCACACTGGAGAGAAGACCTATCAATGTGAAAAATGTAGCAAAGCATTCATGTATCCTAGTTGTCTTCGAAGACATGAGAGAACTCACACTGAAGAGAAACCATATGAATGTAGGATATGTGGAAAGTCCTTCAAGTATTTCAGATCCTTAGAACCACACAAAATGACTCACACAGGAGAAAAACCCTATGAATGTAAGGAATGTGGAAGAACATTCAGATACTACAGCTCCTTAGAAATACACAAGAAATTTCACACTGGAGAGAAGTCCTATGAATGTAAACACTGTGGGAAAGCCTATAGCTATCCCAGCTCCCTTAAAGGACACATGAAAATGCACACTGGAAACACACCTTACCAATGTAAGGAATGTGGGAAAGCATTCACTTGCCTTAGTTTGTTACAAAGACATGAAAGAACTCACACTGGCGAGAAACCCTATGAATGTAAACAATGTGGTACTTTTGTCATTTCTCAACATGCTCTGTACCTTGTTATTAGAGAAATAATGATGTGATGTATTCATAGTAAAAATGTGTAAGCAATTTCCATGTGTTCATATGGTGTTAAATTTATGAGGAAGTGTGGAAAGTACGTTTCTTTGATCAAGTCATAAAATAAATTATTGGAGCTGATAGAATCATATGTAACCTTGTTATAAATGGATTGTAGATTTTCAGGCTGTCAACTTCACAAACTTTACTCTGTACATATATGGATTGTTTTAGGACTCGGTATCCTTTGAGGATGTGGCTGTGAACTTCAGTCTGGAGGAGTGGGCTTTACTGGAGTCTTCACAGAAGAAACTCTACAGAGATGTGATGAGGGAAACCTTCCGGAACCTGGCCTCCATAGGTAAGGATGATGAATTCCCTTCACTTGCTCAAATTAGAGCACAAGTTTCTTTGTTTTTTTTCAGAGAGGAAGGGAGAGGGAGAGAGAGAGAAACATCAATGATGAGAGAGAGAATCATTGATTGGCTGTCTCCTGCAGGCCCTACTCTGGGGATCGAGCCCGCAACACGGCATGTGCCCTGACCAGGAATCAAACCGTGACCTCCTGGTTCATAGGTTGATGCTCAACCACTGAGCCACACCAGCCAGGCACAAGTGTTTTTTACCTATCAGCATTTTCTAAGATGTGTCATTTGGGAAGGAATGACTTTGACAAATAGTTACAGCTCATCATAGAAATAGAATGTACTAATTTTTAAATAACTTCTAATACTTTGGAATTATTTTTCTGGGTCTGCTGCTTTAGGTAGCAAATGGGAAGATCTTGACATGGAAGATCAGTACAAAAACCAGAAGAGAAAACAAAGGTGAGTCACACAAGAGAAAGCAGGGTCTCATGTAAAAGAACCATTGAAATTTTAAAAAGAAGCAACCAAAGCAACAGCTTCTTTAAATGTATTACATCTTAAGAGATGTTCACCAAATTGCTTTCTTATATATTATATAAATGATCAGTGTTTGCAAAATAGATTAGGAAACAGCATTATTAAACCCTGTATATGAATATCACTGTTTTATTAATAGCAAGGCTAAACTTGTCTTGCAGAGCCTTCAGTATATTAAATTTTATATAAACATAAAACATAAAACCTACACTTTCAGTGTAAATCGTACTAATATACTTTAAATATTTTACTGATCAATACAAAGTCTCTAATAAAAAATCATTCATGAGGTGTTTCTTGTTTTTTACAGAAGTCGTATGTTGGAGAGAACCTGTGAAGGGAAAATGGTTAGTCAGTGTGGAGAAAACATCAGCCTTATTCCTGATTTCAGTCTGAAGAAGAAATCTCTTCCTGGAGGAACACGGTGTGAATGCAGAATGTTTGACAAAGCCTTCACAGATCATTCATCTCATAGTAGTCACACCAGCTGTCACAATGGACAAAACTTCTCTGAGTATCAGAGATTTGGAGTGAAGCCATATAAATGTAATGTATGTGGGAAAGCCTTTAGTTATCTTCAGTGCTTTGAAAATCATGAAAGAACTCACTATGGAGAGAAACCCTATAAGTGTAAGGAATGTGGGAAAACCTTTATGTGGCTCAAAATTCTTCAGAAACACATGACCAAACATAGTGCAGATGCTCCTTATAATGGTAAGGTGTGTACGAAAACCTTTAGTTCTTCAACTTCTCTTCAGACAGGTGAGAGAACCCACTCTGGAGAGAAGGCCTATCAATGTGAAAAATGTAGTAAAACATTCAGGCATCCCAGCCAACTTCACGTACATGAAAGAACCCACAGTGCAGAGAAACCATATGAGTGTAGGATATGTGGAAAGGCCTTCAAATATTTCAAATCCTTAGAACCACACAGAATGACTCACACAGCAGAAAAACCCTATAAATGTAAGGAATGTGGAAGAGCATTCAGGCATTACAGTTCCTTAGAAATACACAAAAGGTTTCACACTGGAGAGAAGTCCTATGAATGTAAACACTGTGGTAAAGCTTTTAGTTATCACAGCTCCCTTAAAGGACACATGAAAATGCACACTGGAAACACACCTTACCAATGTAAGGAATGTGGGAAAGCATTCACTTGCCTTAGTTTGTTACAAAGACATGAAAGAACTCACACTGGCGAGAAACCCTATGAATGTAAACAATGTGGTAAAACCTATAAAGATCACAGTAACTTACAAACACACGAAAGAAATCATACTGGAGAGAAACCCTTTAAATGTAAAGAATGTAGAAAAGCCTTCAATTGTAACAAAAACCTTCAATTACACGTGAAAAGGCACAATGGAAACAAACCGTATAAATGTGAAGAATGTGGGAAAGCCTTCGTTGATGGCTCATCCTTACGAAGGCATAAGAGGATTCACGAATAAAACCTAGTGAATGTAAATAGTGTGGAAAAGACCAGTTATTCCTTTTCTTTCTGGAGGCATTAGAGGACTCGCTGGATAAAACCTCGTGAATGTAAAGAGTGTGAGAAAGGTTTCATTGGTCTATATTTTTTTTAAATGTATTTTTATTGATTTCAGAGAGGAAGGGAGAGAGAGACAGAAACATCAATGATGGGAGAGAATCATTGATTGGCTGCCTCCTGCATGCCCCACACTGGGGGGTCCAGCCTGCAATCCGGGCATATGCCCTGAGCGGCAATCAAACTGTGACCTTCTGGTTCATAGGTTGATGCTCAAGCACTGAGCTATGCTGGCTGGGCTGGGCCCACATCTTTATATTTGAAAACTCTCACTGAAAGGCATAGAAATGTAAATAACCTGATAAGGCTGATGGAAATTAATGTTTGTATAATGTTCCGGAAAATGTTCAAGGTTAAAGAGTTGTTTTGAAAATTACAAATATTTTTGGCCCTGACTGGTTTGGCTCAGTGGATAGAGCGTCGGCCTGCGGACGCAAGGGTCCCAGGTTCGATTCCGGTCAAGGGCATGTACCTTGGTTGCGGGCACATCTCCAGTAGGGGGTGTGCAGGAGGCAGCTGATCGATGTTTCTCTCTCATCGATGTTTCTAACTCTCTATCCCCCTCCCTTCCTCTCTGTAAAAAATCATTAAAATATATATATTTTTTAAAATTATAAATATTTTTGTTTACCAAGTTTCTTTAAGTGTGTTATTAGGATGTAGATTTCTAATACTGTTGATCCTTAAACAACTCAGGGATTAAGGGCACCAACTGCCCACATACTCCAAAACCCTTGTAGAACTTAAGCCAGTCCTCCATGTGGTTTCCCAACCACAAATTGAAATGGCAGTTCATCCTTTAAAAACAAGTGTTTGAACTGCTTAAAAGTGGGTCCTTGCAGTTCAAGCCTGTGTTGTTCAAGGGTCAACTGTAATTTCTTTTAGAAATGAATATTACAATGAAATAATTCTGGGACATAACTTTCTACAATATTACATATTAGTAACTGGTGATTTTTTATTAAGTCAGTTAGTAATATTATCTGTTGACTTTTTGAAGCCTGTTAGATCCAAAGTATGTGAATTCTAATGTATTTCTAATATGGAAATAGTTTATTTTTTAAATGATGTTTTGTTTTTTGTTCAGATGGCATTAAAAAATTACAATTCAATATTTTTTTTATTTTGGTATTAGGATTTTTTACTGGCCTTGTGAAATTTAATATCTATATGTATATATCTCATATGTCCCTTTATGTATATGTGTGTATATATATGTATATCTCATATATCCCTTTATTACTGACAGTGCTTTTTTTTATGGGGGGTGGGGTGGGGTGGGGGGGAGGTGATGGGTATAAGAGCTTTTTCCTCATGTTCCTTAGCAATAAACAGTGGGAGTAAATATTTGTGTGTCAATTTTATGAAGATTATATTTCCATGTGAATTGTTACTTTGTTATTTGGTCTTGTGCTTTTTTTCCTGACTGGCATGTTAGATATTTTTGGTTTAAGAGGAGAGACCTGTGATATGACCCAAAATCTATGCTTGGAATATCCCTTTGTAGGTAATGTTAGGAATTAGATTTTCCAGGATTTATAGTCTCTGAGATTCCATATTAGACTTTTCCAGTAACCTCACTTGCCTGAGTTTGGAAGGCATAAGCAAAATAGGCATTAGATTGTGGAGCCATCATATCCTATATAATAAAACCCTAATATGCAAATTGACCAAACAGCAGAATGACTGGTCGCTATGACGTGCACTGACCACCAGGGGGCAGATTCTCAACGCAAGAGCTGCCCCCTGGTGGTCAGTGCACTCACACAATGGGAACACCGCTCAGTCAGAGGCTAGGTTCACAGCTGGAGAGGACAGCAGCAGTGGCCGGAGCCTCTCCCGCCTCCGGGGAACAGGCTTAAGCAGGCAGGTGGACATCCCCCAAGGGATCCCAGACTGTAAGAGGGCACAGGCCGGGCTGAGAGACCCCCTTCTCTCCCTCCCCCGCCCTCCAGTGTTAAGGGCCGCTGGCAAAGAACACTCGGTTTAATTATGTCAGCTGAAACTCAGAGCGAAGGCATAGCCATGCCCTGAGGGCGGACCCAGTCAAGAGATTGGACGACACTCAGTCTGACTTTCCTGCCCAGTGTTAAGGGGATGGATCTCATGATGTCGCCAGGAACTCAAGGCCCACCCAGATGTGATGTAACTTCCTATAATTCAAGTATATAATAAACTCCTTCCAGTGCTGGCTCTCTGACTGTTCCTCCATGAGAGGGCAGAGGCCACACCCAGCCCAAACTTTTAATCTAATTTTGTGTCTGTCCTGTTCATTTTTCTTTAATCCCAAAAGTGCCTCCTAATTTATACAAACTGGTTCACGTCTCTCTCTCCGTGCAGGACATGGAGAAGAGACCCCAGCCCCGACACCCAAATGCACAAATGTCATACACCAGGCCTCTAGTATGGCAATAGAATGATACACAGGGGCTTTAACATAGGGCACCATTTCCCAGCTCATTTTTTTTGGATTCTTTTCTCTTCCAGTCAAGAGTATCTTCAAAACAACTACAATCTGATTTCCATTTTCTTAGAGGTGTAGTTTTCCAGTGATTTCTTCACAAGATTCACATCAAAGATCCATCAGAGTGGCTTTTTCTGTAAGCTGTCTTTTGTTCACCAGTAAACTAGTTCAGCTCTTTATGCATGGGACTATTGTCTGATTATTTTCTTCTCTAGGTTATATCTGTATAAGATCTACTTTGTATAGGAAACATCTTATGCTGTTAATAGTGCTGGAGGGTATGTTTTGTTGATTCCCCATGACATTCACAATGGTGCATTGAAGAAAAGAACATGGAGTTTGTTTCTCTACTGCAATGTGCCGTGGTTGGCTTGACCTGGTCTTTCAATGGCACAGTAAGCACCTCCCTCCTGTCAGGAATACTGGGTATTTTCTGTTACTTTTAGGTGACTGTAATCCTTCAGAATGGTTTCATTTGTGTTCTAGTGCATGTAATTAAAACCATGTGCATTTTCTGTCAAAGATTTCATACACATTTTATTAACTGTTTTAAGCCAGCGGTCGCCAACCTTTCGGACTTAACAGGCCACCAGTGGTCTGAGGACCACCGATTGGTGACCGCTGTTTTAAGCAATAGAATGTTAACAAGTATTATTCTGTTAAGAGGGTATGATTCCTATTCAAGGGAACAAGACCTTTTTTTATGCTGATTGCTGTGAAGAGGTAAACTGTATCCTGTCATGACCATTCATAATGCTTGTTTTCTAGAAGGTAACAACTATGTAATGAAGTTAACCTTAACTTGTAAAAAGCTCCACCAGTGATATCAATATGAAGAGGAGACTAGTGGTCATTGTTATGATTTGGAACTAGATATTTTTGGTTTAAGAGGAGAGACCTGTGATATGACCCAAAATCTATGCTTGGAATATCCCTTTGTAGGTAATGTTAGGAATTAGATTTTCCAGGATTTATAGTCTCTGAGAGTTAGAAAAACACATAAAACATCAATGAAATAAAAAGTGGAAATTTTTAATGGAAAAATTAACAAAATGAACTAATCTTTAGCTTAGGTTGATCTATAGAAAAGGGGGAATGATTCAAATTCATACAATTTTAAAAATACATGTTTTTAAAATTGATTTTATTGGTTGAGCATCATCCCATGCACCAGGAGGTTAGGGCACATTCCCAGGATGCTAGTTCGGTTCCCAGTAGGGGACGTGCAGAAGGCAGCCGATCAGCCAATAGACATGTCGCTGTCACATTGATATTTCTTCTTCCTCTCCCTTCCTCTTTCTCTAAAAATCAAAATACATGTTTTTAAAATATTTTTAAATATATTTTTATTAATTTTAGAAAGGAAGGGAGAGAGAGAGAAACATCAGTGATGAAAGAGAGTCATTGGCTGCCTCCTGCATGATCGGGGATCAAGCCCGCAACCTGGACATATGCCCTGACTGGGAATCCAACTGTGACTTCCTGGTTCATAGGTCGATGCTCAACCACTGAGCCACCATGGCTGGGCTATTTTTAAAATCTTAACAAGAAAGACAGCAACATTTGTCTGAACAGATGCTGGTCCAAAGAAAACCACCTAACTCCCCAGCCAGTTAGGCCAGCTTGAACATCAGGCTTATAGGAAATTTATGTCTGTGTCCCATCCCTATAGTATTTCCTTCTTATAACAAAACAACACAATAGAAATAGACATAGAAAAACAAAATAACCATCTCTGGGAGGAAAGAATCACTGAAAATACTAATAAAATAAAAGCTCAAGAAGTTAGCTTCATAAATATTCTCTGTTGCCAATGAATATTTTAAAAAGAGAAAAAGGCTCACCACTTTTAACTTCCACCAAACCCTGCAGAACAGGTCTAAGAAACTGACATGGTAAAATGCTAACCACCTTGGCCAGCTGTGGTCAGACTTTCATGACCGCTCAGCTGCTGCAGTCCAGAAAGCCAGCCGTGCACCAAATTGTGGGTGCTAAAAAAATTATTAATACCTTTTTCTCCCATTTTCGAAGTTCTTCTAGACTGGGCTAATAATCTAACAGAGACAGATGAACAGGAGAACATCCAAGTTTAATGCATGTACATGGGGAATTCACATAGGCATGGAAATCCTAAAGGCAGTGGGGCAATATTAGGTGTATAAGGCATTTCTTTGTACATAGGAGAAGGGGGAAATAAGGTATTGGATTTCAGAAGCGAGAATGGACAATTTTCAGGCGGTTGAGAAAGAACACAAACAGCAGGAAAATCCTTGCTAAGTGCCCTAACTGGTTTGCTCAGTGGATAGAGCCTCGGCCTGTGGACTGAAGGGTCCCAGGTTTGATTCCAGTCAAGGGCATGTACCTTGGTTGCGGGCACATCCCCAGCGCGTGGTGTGCAGGAGGCAGCTGATCGATGTTTCTCTCTCATCCATGTTTCGAACTCTATCCCTCTCCCTTCCTCTCTGTAAAAAATCAATAGAATATATTTTAAAAAAATGAAGATCGAAACAAAAAGTTCTGACCTTAAAAAGAAAAAATCCTTGCTAGGCAACGCAGAAACAGTGGGACACAGGGGTATCTAGCTAATAGGTCCCTGCCTAAAGCCCTCTTGTTTACCA